ACAGCCTCTGTCAGGAGCTGCTGGGAGTCAGGGTACCTCCTGCCTTTGAGGCCCAAGGTCACGGAGAGCTGAGAGCAGAGGGCAGCCCTTACTCACTTTGCGCCTTGGTTTCCCTTTCTGTAAAATGGGCATACTAAAACTAGCCCTGCATTCCCTCAGGGTTGCAGGGATGATCTGGTTCTTTGGACACTGCCCTCATCGTGGTCACTGACCATGACAGACAAGCATGATTCTGCTTCCTTCATGTAGTCCCAGCCCTCACTCTGAGCTGGGAGGTGGGCTTGCTTCCTGACACCCTTTCCTCTTCCACTCCTTCATACCCCCCAGCTGGATTACACTGTTGTCTGGGCTGGCTGGTGCTCAGGGAGGCAGAGGGGAATCCAGTTCACAGTCCTGCCTGGATGAGGGGACCAGGATGTGAGAGGGGGAGGCTGTTTTGTTGGAACAACTCCCTCTCTCCAGACTCAACTCTGGGGCTACTATTCGAAAGCTGTTAGCCCAGAGCCCAGGTGCTGGGACCTGTTTTCCAGGCAGGAGGAGCTGTGGCCCTGTGGTAGGCTAGGACTGGGGAAGTGGGAAGGCTTTGAGATCCCTGCTTCTGCTTGGGTTGAGGGGTGGGTTGTGAGGCCCCTAGAAATCCCTGCAGGTCCCATGGAGTGGACCAGCTCTAGACATCTTCTCTCGGCCTCAGGTGGGCCCAGCAACTAGTAGTTTTTCCTTTCCTCTAGCTTTCTGCACTCACTCCTGGCTTTGTTTTTCTTTCTTTCTTTCCATTTTTTTCTCTTCCTGTCTTAGCTGCGTGTTTTCCCAGAATTCTTACGGGAACAGGGTATTTTCCTGCCCCCTCCCCCTTCCCCTTGTCTGTCAGATTTCCTGTTTTACAAACTGGCTTTGAATCCAGTCCTGGGGCTGGTGGGAAGCAGAGCCTCATGGGCCCTAGCAGCTTCCAAGAGCCTTGTCACCCTAGGGCCCCTCCTCCTCCACACCTCTCTCATGCCTGGCCTGGGGACAGCCAGGAGGTGAATGCAGGCACCAGCCTTAAAGAGACAACCCTCGAAGGAGGAGACAGAAGTCTCCCGGCAAGACCAACAGCCTTGACCTTTTGTGGGCTTGCTGAGCTGGCTTCTTCCTGAACTTGCCCAGGACACTCTTCCCCATGCCTCATCAGGCCCACTCCAAGTCCCATTTCTCCTAGGAAGTCTCTGGGGACCCCACTGAACCCCTTTTTCGACTTTTGCTTCTTTAGCAGCCTGAATGAGCCAGGGGACAACACTGCACACTGCATCCTTGTGCTGGTGGGATGCTGCCACGTGCCAAGTCAAAAGTCAAAGCACAAAGGAATGTTCGCAGCACTGCCGTCATGTTTTACTCTATTGCTTGTGGTGCCCTGCTTTGCTTTGGAGAGATTTGTGTATCCTCATGCCCCTCTGGGAGCTGGGGACCAAGGCCTCATGACCCTGTACCTAAGCAGAGCCTGGCATGCAGTAGGAGCTCAATAATTGTGTGTTGGTTAGAAAAGCACATCCAGATGGCAGGGCCCTTTCATGGAACTTCTGAAAGTAGAGTTGTGGACCTGCCATGCACATGGGCCTCAATAGGCAAAGTGAGGTCAGTGGCTAGTTCAGGTTCATCTAGCTGGGCCCTCCCTGCCCCTCACATGGGAGCCCTCACTGGATGCCTTGAGGCCCTAGCCATAGAACCCTGGCACTCTTCCTCTGACTCTTTGCCTGGAGATTGAGTGAGTGTGTCCCAGTTCCCTCCCCTATGCTTTGGGAGAGAGCAACTAGGGTGGCTTTGTCTTTGGACCCTAAGCACAGGGCCAGCCCTGGGCCAGTGCTCTGTGAACCTCTGTGGGAAAGGAAGAAGGGAGTGAGAAAGGCAGTGAATCATGGGCCAAGTGGAGGTGTGCAGCTCCAGGGGGCCCTGGGGCAAAGGGCTGGGGCTGGTGGGGCTGAGGAGGGCGTGGTTTGCCCTTCCAAGACCTCGTCCACCCCAGGCTCTCCCTGTGTTGACCTGGGCTTCCCTCCTGTCAGCCTTCCTGCTTGGCCCACAACCCAGTGCTCAAGATGCCTGGGCTGAGATAGGGATAGCGAGGGGCTGACCAGCTCCTAGTTGGCTCCATTTCCCTTAGAGAGGAGGGTGGCTCTGGGCTTCCCAACCTTGGAGCAGAGGTAGTGGCCTCGCAGCTTCTGGGAGTGACTGAACTGGGCTGTGTCCTAGATCACCATCCCAAGGGGGAAGGACGGCTTTGGCTTCACCATCTGCTGTGACTCTCCGGTTCGAGTCCAGGCTGTGGATTCTGGTAAGTGAGCCTCGCTTGTCT